CGAATGGTTTAAAATTAGGAAAGGTATGTGCCAGAGTCATATTCTTTCACCATATTTATTCAATCTGTATGCTGGGATAATAATCCAAGAAGCTGAATTTATGAAGAAAAATGTGGCATCAGATTGGAGGAAGATTCATTAACACAAACTGCGATATAAAGATGTTACAACCTTGCTTGATGAAAGCAAAGAGTACTTAAAATACTTACTGATGAAGGTCAAAGATCACAGCCTTTGGTATGGGTTGCAACTCAACGTAAAGAAATTTTTTTTTTTTAAATCACCACCACTGGACCAATAAACAACATCCAAATAAATGGGAAAAAATTACAATTGTCAAAGTCTTCATTTTGCTCAGATCAACCATAAACACTCATGGAAACAACAGTCAAGAAATCAAACGTCATATTATATTAGGTGATCTGCTTCACAAGACCTTGTTCAAGTTTTGATGAGCAAAGATGTCAGTTTGAGAACTAAGATGTACCTGACCCAAGTCATGGTATTTTCAGTAACCTCATATGCATGCGAAAGTTGGACAGTGAATAAGGAAGACTGTTGAAGAATAGATGCATTTGAGTTATGGTGTTGGAGGAAAATATTAAAAGTACCATGGAGTACCAAAAGAACAGACAAATCTGTATTGGAATTAAAGTGCAGCCAGAGTGATCCTTGGAAGCCAGAATGGTCAGACTTCATCTCTCATACTTTGGACATATTGTCAGGAAGGACCAGTCACTACAGAAGGATATCATGTTTTGTACGGTGAAGGGTCGGCGAAAAAGAAGAAGACTTAAAACGAGATGGACAGGCACAATGACAGCAGCAATGGGCTGAGGTGTAGTAAGGATTGTGAGGTTAGCCCAGGACCAACCAGTATTTGGTTCTGTCTGCATAGGGTCACTATGAGTTTTAGCAACTCAATGACACATAACAACAGAAAGCCTCTTTCTTTTTTCATTTTTCCATTCCAGTTCTGGTTAGTGTTTTTTCTTTTTTTGTTTTTACTCTCTCTTACATGACTCCTTTACAGTTTTATTTTCCTGTCCCACCTTTCTCTTTTTAGTAATTATATGTTTTACTTGTTGCTGCCTGTGTGTTTTCTTTTTTCTCCTTTATTATTTTCTTTTTTTGTTGTTGTTATTCTTTGCTTGATTGCTTGTGTGTGTGTGCAAAAAGTATCTTCTTGCCCAACCAACAGGAGACAGCAACTATGTCC